TTAGGTTTGGAGTTCTTATTTTAGAGAAGTTAACTAGACCTTTGACGTTACTAATACAAATGATGAGTATGACACGTTAAACTGAACTAGGCAAAGTAAACGAAGAGGAGAGTAACTAGTTGGTGAAACCCTTCCATTCAAAAAGAATGATACATCATAAGACCATTATGACATGTAAGTAGAGTGTACCTATCAATTCCTTCCCCGACTCCAACTCTTAGAAAGTTTCCAATCTTCACTGGCGAACCCACTTCCTTGGACAGGTTATCCAGCAACGTCTGAAAAATAGTTCCAACGTATCACAATTAAACTGGAGATCTAAGATGCGCATGTACAACTAAACTACGGTGGCTAGCACAAAATAAAATGTTGAATAACTTCAAAATCTACAACTAATATGCCATTATGCTTGGACATTAAATGTACTAATACATCAAATATTTAAAGGCAATACATAAAAAAGATAGACTTGTAACCTTAAATGAAAGCATCAGAATTCAATATAATAAACCAAAGACACTTCCACCATTCATTAGCATTATTCAACTTTATCAGCATACTTAATTGATTCTTGAGAAGATACGAATTGAGAATATGATTGGTACCTCACCTTGACATTTACACTATCATTAACAATAAACTTCTGCTCCATCAGGACAACTTCTTCCATGTACTTCCGCAAACGACCTTCAACCATCTTTTCTATAGCCATTTGAGATTTGCCAGTTGTTTCAGCCTGACAAATGAAAGGTTTATATAAATATCACCTTAACCTATCATAAAAGATGATATAACTAAAATAAGATATCAAATACCACAAAGTAATCAACGTCACAAATTCATTAGTGGAAAATAATAATATTTACTACTAAAAAAAAAAATTTTGATGTAACTATGACAAGTCCAGGAAAAACAACAGACGTGCCACTGTACATTTAACCAAAAAAAAAAAAAAAAAAAAAAAAACCAAGTCTGTCATAATTAACGGTAAGGACAACAAGATTGAAGGTCTAGGTGCTAATTAACGGTAATCAACGTCACAAATTCATTGGCGTGTCTTTTTGTGTTTAGTGCCAAACTCTCTGTCCTCAAGAGATGGTTTTCAATACCTTTTTGTTCGTGCACACTCGTGTGTCATCTAGCTCCATTCTTAAGCAACAAACTGACCCAGATAAAAATTCAATACAAATGACAATGAACCAATACGGAAGGCAATATTGAAATCTAAAAAGGCGTGGAGAAGAAAATAATAGAGTGGGAAAAAGACGACCTTGAACAATAATATCCAGTGAAAAACCAAAGTTCCATAAAATTGTACATATTACACAGACCTGAGACTTGAGAACTTCACGTTCATTCTCTAATGCGTCAGAAGCAACGAGTTCCTTTGTCAAGAACAACGGCTTTGCAGCCACTACATGCATTGCTAATTCTGATCCAACACGTTGAAGAGCATCTAACTTTGAATTACCACCCTCAACTTCAAGAGACAAAATTCCAGCAATACGACCCAAACCTGAAAAATACACAAAATGAAGGTTAAGAACATATATATAAAGGCACCAGACTTAGTCGACTCTAATTTTGGCATTTGTGGAATGTCATTTATTAGACATAAAGAGAAAATTTTGGTCTTAATTCCCAAGTACACTAATCACAAAATTCATAAGCATTCAGCAAATTATCCAAGGAAAGTAGGGTAGAGCAACTACAAGCATCCATGAAATGGTCGCCATGGGGATTAAATACAAAAGCATGCACCATTCAGGATAAATTGAATGCTCTTCAAAGTTCAAAGCCCAAACACCTGAATGTCAGCCACCCAAGGAAAAATATATCCCATCCCTAAAACAGGACAAGGCAGTTTGAATCAGAGTACCTGGCTGAGGACTTGTGTGGAGGTATGTAGAAATAACACCACTTGAAGAAGCAGACATCGAAAAACCTCGTCTTAGCTTAATATTCTCCCCCATTATGGCTGCTACTTCAGTAACTGCATTAAGAGCTGTTGTTTCTCCATTAATTTTTGGGTGTTCGAGATTTAATTTCATTCCCTGACAAGTGGCAAGAATTCCATTATATACAAATATTGATTCGATATGCCAAATAGGATTTGTTATAATATAATTACAATTAGAAATGATGAATAATAATAGGAAAATATCTATTTACATCTGATTTTAATAAAAAAATATGAGAATATTATCCAAGTTTTTCAACAATACACGGCCCAAATTATGAGAATGTCCATTAACACCTGGTTTTCAGCAATTAAGGGGAAATGATTATTTATGAAGACAACGAATAAATTGAGACATCGTCTGAGGAATGCTTTCAGCCCTCCATACCACTTCTATATAAGGTATTACCAGTAAAATTACAGCAGTTCACAACTTCATAGCATTGCCATCAAAAGCACTCTCACCACACGGATTTGGAAATCAATGATCAAGTGACATTACAAGAGAATTTTGACATTTTACGTTCAATAAGAAAAAAGATTCTTCAAGTCGTCAGATTGTTTGTCGTTATTTGTACATATTATATTAAAACAAGCAAAAGGATTCAAGTAAGAAGAATGAGAGTGCAGAGTTTAGCCCACCCAGAATTGGTAGCCCAAAACCAAGAAAAGGGGTACATGAAAAGAAAATTGCATGAAAAAAGCCCCAATTGTTGGTTACGGAAACAGGTGAAAATAACTAAAAGGCTAAGTAGTACACTCAGAAAGAAATATTAAAATGAGTCATATTCTTAACCCAAGTCCCAATGACACACTAACTGATACACTAAAGAATAATTCAGCAGAGAGGAAAAACAATAATTCTTGCCACAAGGCTATCCCAAAGCAACGGTGCCCCATCCCCTTGGGAAGATGAAAAAACCAAGGCATGGGATCATTGTTAGAAGAATAAACAACTTGAAGATTAGAGAAAAGAGGCCTGAGTAGACAGGACCATCTCCAATGAATTGATCCTCCCCAAATCATCTTATATTCATTGATGAATTTTTCATTTCTTAAAAAGAAATGGTCCTCCTACTATCGAATGTAAACCATTCGATAACCAACTGATACCACCCATATTTGCTAGTTTCACCCATCATTACTTGCATCCGTAAAATATGAGACTAAGTAACAAAAGTTCAAGAAGAAAGCAGGCATTTTTTACAAAAATCTAACCTCCAATTGCTCTAGTCCAACAGGAAAAGTCCCGGAAACGTCATGAGACAAACTCTCAGACAACAATGCTTGCCTTGCTAAAGATAGAGCCTGGGATCAAAATAAAACGACATCTTATGAGCAAAAGAACAAGGTTTCCTGTAGAAGAAAGCTACAGAAATTCGTACGATCTACACATGATCATTTACAAGCATAGTAATTCACACTATTGAAATGGAAATGTTGCACAAAAATGAATAAGACAATCAAAAACTTACCAAGTATTGAAAAATCTCATTCCTAGCAACAAAGTCAGTCTCGCAGTTAAGTTCAATAACAACAGCTTTGGTTTCATTTTGGGCCAAGGCAAGAAGCCCTTCAGCAGCAGTTCGAGAAGACTTTTTCAGGGCCAGCACCTTTCCTCTTTTTCGCAGTTCTGTCTGTGCTGCTTCTGCACTTCTAACATTACATATAAGCCAATGAAACCGAAAGCAAAAGAAAGTTTCAGAAACTATCAGGATGTCTTACCAATATCCCAATTGCAATCAATAAGAGCAGCCTTGACGTCTTTAATTGGTGCACTAGTCCTTTCTCTCAGCTGCCTTATGAGACTCATCTGGTCCGACCCGGCGGGGGTTTCCACACTAAATCTTCTCAGCAGACTAAGTCTCGAATAAAGAACAGAATTGGCATCGGAAGCGTAGGGAACTGAACTTCCATATTGAACACCTTCACCAACAAAGATCCTACTGGTTGCGCAACCGGAAAATCCACGTCGACTAGCATTGTTCAGCAGCCTGTTAGCAATCATAATTCCAAGGGAACGTTTTGCAGCTCTAGAAAACGCCATGCTAGCATTCAAAAAACAATCTCTGAAAGCAGCAAAAAAAAAAAAAAAAAAAAATACAGAGGATAAAACTTAGCATCAATATATCGAAATAATCAACAAAGAACACCGAAATGGTTACCAATGAGCAACAACGAAAAATGTAAATAAGAGGTTAGTGACGGAGAGGTTTAAGCTTTGAATTGAATATGAATGCTCTAAAGAACGAAGCGGAAACCATACCAGGCCGTTTCACAGGACGGGAAGACGAATGAAGATGGTGGACGACTGGTTAATTCAACATACAATGATACAAACCAAACTTTTCCAGTTTTCTGCTTGTTTGGAGCGATGAACAAAGCTTGACGGAGTGATTTTCTTCAAGCAAGTAGAAATGGAGTCGTGGTGTTACAGTATTGGCAACTAGGGGAACACGGTGGCTGCGATTGGGCTTTGAAATTGATGAAACCCCACGTTTTTGGGCCTGCAAGATTTCAATTCAGAGTTTTTATTTTTTCACTTTCTTTAATCCATTTTTATGTTAAATAAACTTTCAAATATTATTTTATTTTTGTTTTTAAAAATTATATTTATTTCCTCATATTTTTTTACTATGACTTTTATTTTATTTTTTACACGTTTGCAAAAACTAAAAATAAAATTTTAAAATCTATTCCTTTTTAACTTGAACGGATTAATTTTTTAAATTAAATAATTATTAAACGAGACCTAAATTTTTATATTTATTCTATTTTAGTCTTCAAATTTTTAATAATATATATTTAAAAGCTAAAAAATAATTATTTTTTTTTAGAGGTTGAAGCTAAAATAAATATTTAAAAACTAAAATGAATGCTCGAACTAAAAAAAATCAAAAGCATCAAATAATACTTTCAAACTTATCTAATTAAATGTAAATTTAAAATAAAGTTATTATTGATATTAATCTCATGTTTTTTTAATTACAAAAACAACCTCAATATTGTGTTATATTTGCAGAAGAAAGCCCAAATTTGACGTCTTATTACAAGCTTGACCCACCGTCCGCTGTGATCGGCTCCGTGTCGTACCAAGGTTTTTCCGGTTCAACTCCATTCCTCAGATTCCTTCTAGGGTTTTTTTTTCTTCTTTTCTTCCATTTTTCTGATCATGGCTGCGATGCGATTGACGCCGGATGACGCTCGGGGTGCTCCGTCCGCCGTTGATCTGGTCTCTGACGACGATCGCTCAGTGGCCGCTGACTCTTGGTCCATCAAGAGTGAGTATGGTAGCACCCTCGACGATGACCAGCGTAATGCCGACGCTGCCGAGGCTCTATCTGCTGGAAATTTGCGTGCCGCTTCGGATTACAGGTCTAGCGTAGTTTCTTCTTTCGAACTGTGTGAATCTAACTGGAAATAGTTGAAACCGCGCTGTTTTAAAACTCTGTTTTTGTTTTGACTGTTGGGAACTTGGCGTGTTGTTTTTTTTTTTTTCTTTTGGTTAGACTGATTCCTAAAGCATTCAATGATCATGTTATTCTCGTTGATTTCTGGAATAGATGAATACAGTTCCGCGGTGCAGTTCATGTAGTTTATCTTTCTCGGACACTTGAATCCTGAAGGTGTGAGGAGAGTCCCGTTTCCCCATCTCTTGCTATTTCTTTCCTCAGTCTAATGGACTTCGTGTGGACTTCCTATACTGTTTTTCCCTTTAGCTCTTCAATCTGGAGGAATGGGAGAACCTTTGTAAATGTGTCCTTTTTTATTTGCCCAGAGATTAGATCCTTGTTTCGCAACTTTTAGCTTTAACTACTGTCACAATAACAATTGATTAGAAGCCATCATGGGTTGGCCGGACTAATGAAGAAGTAGGTTTAAAGGTAGCTATTTACTGGGATCTAATATCCTATGAGTGTCTTCAGCAACTAAATGTAGTAGAGTTTTGATGGCTATCCCACGAGATTAGTCGAGATACATGTAAATAGACTTATGCACTCATGGATATCAAAGAAACCTTTGCTTAGAATTTTTGTGACAAGAAAGTTGAATATTCCATTTTTAACTGCATGACCATATTAATCTGGTATAATGCTTTTGGTAATGAGCGTATTTTCATTCTAAACAAGGTTTGTTACATTTTCAGTTCTGACAAGGATGAAACAGAACCAGATGCTGAAGCTGTGGCATCAATGCTAGGTCTCCAAAGTTATTGGGATTCTCAATATGCTGATGAATTGACAAACTTCCATGAACATGGTCATGTTGGTGAAGTCTGGTACGTAAGAATTGCTTAAGGTATCTTGTTTTCTTATTTTCTGGTAATGTTATTATGTTTTCTGGCCTTCTGTGCTATTCAACTATAGATCATATTCTCTAATCACTTTTGCCTGTCAATATACTATATGTTGGTGCTGTACTACTGTTAGTTCCATCGAGAAATTATAGAACTATTCTTAGACTCTTAACTTTTTGAACATGATGTTGGGTGTTGTTCACTCAAAGGATTATTGTACCTGATAATTCTTCTCAATAATACATCTCGAGGACTATGGTTCTTTTAAATGCAATTTGTGTTGTTAAACTGTGATCGAAAAGATAAAGTAGATTTTCTAGATTGACTGGGCAAGACTTTTTTTTGGCTAAGAAACAAGCACAACTTCATTGACGGTTAGAATCAAAGAGAGACTTGACTTGTATTTGTTCATCTAGCTTTCTATTTTTATACTTTCTTCATTCTTCAGGTTTGGACCTGAAGTTATGGAAACTGTTGCTTCTTGGACAAAAATTTTGTGTTCTGATGTTTCGCAAGGTCGGTTTCCCAATCAAGCTGATAATGTTAAGTCACTGAATGGTGATCAGGGTTCCAAATTCTTGTCTAGTTGGAGTGTACTTGATATTGGGACGGGAAATGGTTTGCTGCTTCAAGAACTTGCTAAGGAGGGGTATGTTTCGAAATTTTGTTTTTTGATTCTTGCTAACATTTCAGAAAGGTTTTCTTTTTGACTTGTATCTTATTTCAATTGGTTAAACTTTTTCGTAATAGATTTACCAATTGAAGGCATAAGCTTTCGGTACTTACTGTTTGTCATCTTGAACTTGCTTGCAGATTCTCTAATTTGACAGGAACTGATTATAGTGAAGGGGCAATAGATCTTGCTAGAAGCCTTGCAGAGCGAGATGGTTTTTCCACAATTAAATTTTTGGTATGACTTGGCATGAGGATATTTTGATTACCGTACTTATTCTTTTTCAAAATCTTCACAAATCACCTTGTCTCTCTCTTGGATGTGCTATGGAACATAGTTCTTACCTTCTACTTACGAAATTGGTGGTGTTTCTGGACTTTGGGAATTGGTAGGGATTTATTTTCGTTTTTTTGTAGAACGTGTATTTTCTTTTCCCCATGTGTACGTTCCTGGCTTTTTTCAAAAAAAAAAAAAAAAAAAAAAAAAAAAAAAAAAAAAAAAAAAAAAAAAAAAAANAAAAAAAAAAAAAAAAAAAAAAAGAAAAAAAGAAAAAAGAATTTAAATGTTTTCTAAATGACTGTCACCATAACTATTAGGCTAATATGACTTTTGTGGTACATGTGATGTGAGTAGTGCATTGTCCATCTTGAAATTTAGGTAACCTTATTTGGCAGTTAGCCATAGGCATAAAAGGGTAAGTAATTGGGTCAATTGATCATTTTTTTAAGGGTAAATTAGATTTTTTACTATTATTCTTTGTCTATCCTTGTGTCTATTTGATTGTTTGATCCTTGAGTTTTCAACCTTAAATCCTTAGTTTTCAGAATTAGATCTAAATAGACTCAATATTTGTTTTTTTTCTACTTTTGCAAGGGACGATAATTGACAACTTTGATTTGGGAGACAGATTAGGCATGTAATAGAGTTGGAGGATACCTGTTTAGTCAACTTCATAAATCCTTCCAATTGTTTGTCAGATTATGTTGCATCTAAGTTTCAAGAAATGATTGTCACGTCTGTATATTGTCAATCATTGATATCAAGCATGATTTGATGTCTAGAGATTATTTGTGAAACTTTTTAAAGTTGAGTAAATTAGTTTCCAAAAAACATATTAATAAATAAGGATAGTTGTTAAATGCCCTTGGATCATACAAGCCGGTCATTGGTTCAATGCCTTTTTGAGCTATATAACTGGGTTATTAAATTACGGGGATCAAGCATTGTATGGTGTTGTTTGAAATTTTCAGCGTCGTGAATGCAAATCATCTGCCGATCCAGAAAGCAAGTGGAAATACAGAATTTTACACGCACAAAAGTTACAAACTCATGTCCTATCAACCTGTCTTAGAATTATTCTACTCAACCCTGCTACTCCGATCTGTGGAAGTTTCTAATTCCATATGTATTAGTATGGACATGCGTGCTGAAATTTTGAAGCTCAACACTTCTGTGATTCGTGAATAGTCAGGATTGGAAATATTAGTCCATTTTTTTAATTTTAAAGCTCAACATTTTATATTCAGTTTATGCATGATATAGTGCGATCATCATAATTGCATTATTTTACAGTAGTGCGATCATCATAATTGTACTGTTTTACATTGGCTTAGGTTGATGATGTTCTTGAGACAAACTTGGAAGGGCAATTTCAACTCGTTGTGGATAAAGGCACTTTAGATGCAATTGGATTGCATCCAGATGGTCCCCTTAAAAGGTAACGATAAGCAAATATTTGGGCACGGCATATGCTCCATAATAATTAGATAATTGGTTGTTTTCAAGTTTCAGTTCGATGGATATTACTGCATAGAAGGTTGAAGTACGTGGACATTTGTTTTTTTTTTTTTTANTAATTCAGCAGAGAGGAAAAACAATAATTCTTGCCACAAGGCTATCCCAAAGCAACGGTGCCCCATCCCCTTGGGAAGATGAAAAAACCAAGGCATGGGATCATTGTTAGAAGAATAAACAACTTGAAGATTAGAGAAAAGAGGCCTGAGTAGACAGGACCATCTCCAATGAATTGATCCTCCCCAAATCATCTTATATTCATTGATGAATTTTTCATTTCTTAAAAAGAAATGGTCCTCCTACTATCGAATGTAAACCATTCGATAACCAACTGATACCACCCATATTTGCTAGTTTCACCCATCATTACTTGCATCCGTAAAATATGAGACTAAGTAACAAAAGTTCAAGAAGAAAGCAGGCATTTTTTACAAAAATCTAACCTCCAATTGCTCTAGTCCAACAGGAAAAGTCCCGGAAACGTCATGAGACAAACTCTCAGACAACAATGCTTGCCTTGCTAAAGATAGAGCCTGGGATCAAAATAAAACGACATCTTATGAGCAAAAGAACAAGGTTTCCTGTAGAAGAAAGCTACAGAAATTCGTACGATCTACACATGATCATTTACAAGCATAGTAATTCACACTATTGAAATGGAAATGTTGCACAAAAATGAATAAGACAATCAAAAACTTACCAAGTATTGAAAAATCTCATTCCTAGCAACAAAGTCAGTCTCGCAGTTAAGTTCAATAACAACAGCTTTGGTTTCATTTTGGGCCAAGGCAAGAAGCCCTTCAGCAGCAGTTCGAGAAGACTTTTTCAGGGCCAGCACCTTTCCTCTTTTTCGCAGTTCTGTCTGTGCTGCTTCTGCACTTCTAACATTACATATAAGCCAATGAAACCGAAAGCAAAAGAAAGTTTCAGAAACTATCAGGATGTCTTACCAATATCCCAATTGCAATCAATAAGAGCAGCCTTGACGTCTTTAATTGGTGCACTAGTCCTTTCTCTCAGCTGCCTTATGAGACTCATCTGGTCCGACCCGGCGGGGGTTTCCACACTAAATCTTCTCAGCAGACTAAGTCTCGAATAAAGAACAGAATTGGCATCGGAAGCGTAGGGAACTGAACTTCCATATTGAACACCTTCACCAACAAAGATCCTACTGGTTGCGCAACCGGAAAATCCACGTCGACTAGCATTGTTCAGCAGCCTGTTAGCAATCATAATTCCAAGGGAACGTTTTGCAGCTCTAGAAAACGCCATGCTAGCATTCAAAAAACAATCTCTGAAAGCAGCAAAAAAAAAAAAAAAAAAAATTACAGAGGATAAAACTTAGCATCAATATATCGAAATAATCAACAAAGAACACCGAAATGGTTACCAATGAGCAACAACGAAAAATGTAAATAAGAGGTTAGTGACGGAGAGGTTTAAGCTTTGAATTGAATATGAATGCTCTAAAGAACGAAGCGGAAACCATACCAGGCCGTTTCACAGGACGGGAAGACGAATGAAGATGGTGGACGACTGGTTAATTCAACATACAATGATACAAACCAAACTTTTCCAGTTTTCTGCTTGTTTGGAGCGATGAACAAAGCTTGACGGAGTGATTTTCTTCAAGCAAGTAGAAATGGAGTCGTGGTGTTACAGTATTGGCAACTAGGGGAACACGGTGGCTGCGATTGGGCTTTGAAATTGATGAAACCCCACGTTTTTGGGCCTGCAAGATTTCAATTCAGAGTTTTTATTTTTTCACTTTCTTTAATCCATTTTTATGTTAAATAAACTTTCAAATATTATTTTATTTTTGTTTTTAAAAATTATATTTATTTCCTCATATTTTTTTACTATGACTTTTATTTTATTTTTTACACGTTTGCAAAAACTAAAAATAAAATTTTAAAATCTATTCCTTTTTAACTTGAACGGATTAATTTTTTAAATTAAATAATTATTAAACGAGACCTAAATTTTTATATTTATTCTATTTTAGTCTTCAAATTTTTAATAATATATATTTAAAAGCTAAAAAATAATTATTTTTTTTTAGAGGTTGAAGCTAAAATAAATATTTAAAAACTAAAATGAATGCTCGAACTAAAAAAAATCAAAAGCATCAAATAATACTTTCAAACTTATCTAATTAAATGTAAATTTAAAATAAAGTTATTATTGATATTAATCTCATGTTTTTTTAATTACAAAAACAACCTCAATATTGTGTTATATTTGCAGAAGAAAGCCCAAATTTGACGTCTTATTACAAGCTTGACCCACCGTCCGCTGTGATCGGCTCCGTGTCGTACCAAGGTTTTTCCGGTTCAACTCCATTCCTCAGATTCCTTCTAGGGTTTTTTTTTCTTCTTTTCTTCCATTTTTCTGATCATGGCTGCGATGCGATTGACGCCGGATGACGCTCGGGGTGCTCCGTCCGCCGTTGATCTGGTCTCTGACGACGATCGCTCAGTGGCCGCTGACTCTTGGTCCATCAAGAGTGAGTATGGTAGCACCCTCGACGATGACCAGCGTAATGCCGACGCTGCCGAGGCTCTATCTGCTGGAAATTTGCGTGCCGCTTCGGATTACAGGTCTAGCGTAGTTTCTTCTTTCGAACTGTGTGAATCTAACTGGAAATAGTTGAAACCGCGCTGTTTTAAAACTCTGTTTTTGTTTTGACTGTTGGGAACTTGGCGTGTTGTTTTTTTTTTTTTCTTTTGGTTAGACTGATTCCTAAAGCATTCAATGATCATGTTATTCTCGTTGATTTCTGGAATAGATGAATACAGTTCCGCGGTGCAGTTCATGTAGTTTATCTTTCTCGGACACTTGAATCCTGAAGGTGTGAGGAGAGTCCCGTTTCCCCATCTCTTGCTATTTCTTTCCTCAGTCTAATGGACTTCGTGTGGACTTCCTATACTGTTTTTCCCTTTAGCTCTTCAATCTGGAGGAATGGGAGAACCTTTGTAAATGTGTCCTTTTTTATTTGCCCAGAGATTAGATCCTTGTTTCGCAACTTTTAGCTTTAACTACTGTCACAATAACAATTGATTAGAAGCCATCATGGGTTGGCCGGACTAATGAAGAAGTAGGTTTAAAGGTAGCTATTTACTGGGATCTAATATCCTATGAGTGTCTTCAGCAACTAAATGTAGTAGAGTTTTGATGGCTATCCCACGAGATTAGTCGAGATACATGTAAATAGACTTATGCACTCATGGATATCAAAGAAACCTTTGCTTAGAATTTTTGTGACAAGAAAGTTGAATATTCCATTTTTAACTGCATGACCATATTAATCTGGTATAATGCTTTTGGTAATGAGCGTATTTTCATTCTAAACAAGGTTTGTTACATTTTCAGTTCTGACAAGGATGAAACAGAACCAGATGCTGAAGCTGTGGCATCAATGCTAGGTCTCCAAAGTTATTGGGATTCTCAATATGCTGATGAATTGACAAACTTCCATGAACATGGTCATGTTGGTGAAGTCTGGTACGTAAGAATTGCTTAAGGTATCTTGTTTTCTTATTTTCTGGTAATGTTATTATGTTTTCTGGCCTTCTGTGCTATTCAACTATAGATCATATTCTCTAATCACTTTTGCCTGTCAATATACTATATGTTGGTGCTGTACTACTGTTAGTTCCATCGAGAAATTATAGAACTATTCTTAGACTCTTAACTTTTTGAACATGATGTTGGGTGTTGTTCACTCAAAGGATTATTGTACCTGATAATTCTTCTCAATAATACATCTCGAGGACTATGGTTCTTTTAAATGCAATTTGTGTTGTTAAACTGTGATCGAAAAGATAAAGTAGATTTTCTAGATTGACTGGGCAAGACTTTTTTTTGGCTAAGAAACAAGCACAACTTCATTGACGGTTAGAATCAAAGAGAGACTTGACTTGTATTTGTTCATCTAGCTTTCTATTTTTATACTTTCTTCATTCTTCAGGTTTGGACCTGAAGTTATGGAAACTGTTGCTTCTTGGACAAAAATTTTGTGTTCTGATGTTTCGCAAGGTCGGTTTCCCAATCAAGCTGATAATGTTAAGTCACTGAATGGTGATCAGGGTTCCAAATTCTTGTCTAGTTGGAGTGTACTTGATATTGGGACGGGAAATGGTTTGCTGCTTCAAGAACTTGCTAAGGAGGGGTATGTTTCGAAATTTTGTTTTTTGATTCTTGCTAACATTTCAGAAAGGTTTTCTTTTTGACTTGTATCTTATTTCAATTGGTTAAACTTTTTCGTAATAGATTTACCAATTGAAGGCATAAGCTTTCGGTACTTACTGTTTGTCATCTTGAACTTGCTTGCAGATTCTCTAATTTGACAGGAACTGATTATAGTGAAGGGGCAATAGATCTTGCTAGAAGCCTTGCAGAGCGAGATGGTTTTTCCACAATTAAATTTTTGGTATGACTTGGCATGAGGATATTTTGATTACCGTACTTATTCTTTTTCAAAATCTTCACAAATCACCTTGTCTCTCTCTTGGATGTGCTATGGAACATAGTTCTTACCTTCTACTTACGAAATTGGTGGTGTTTCTGGACTTTGGGAATTGGTAGGGATTTATTTTCGTTTTTTTGTAGAACGTGTATTTTCTTTTCCCCATGTGTACGTTCCTGGCTTTTTTCAAAAAAAAAAAAAAAAAAAAAAAGAAAAAAAGAAAAAAGAATTTAAATGTTTTCTAAATGACTGTCACCATAACTATTAGGCTAATATGACTTTTGTGGTACATGTGATGTGAGTAGTGCATTGTCCATCTTGAAATTTAGGTAACCTTATTTGGCAGTTAGCCATAGGCATAAAAGGGTAAGTAATTGGGTCAATTGATCATTTTTTTAAGGGTAAATTAGATTTTTTACTATTATTCTTTGTCTATCCTTGTGTCTATTTGATTGTTTGATCCTTGAGTTTTCAACCTTAAATCCTTAGTTTTCAGAATTAGATCTAAATAGACTCAATATTTGTTTTTTTTCTACTTTTGCAAGGGACGATAATTGACAACTTTGATTTGGGAGACAGATTAGGCATGTAATAGAGTTGGAGGATACCTGTTTAGTCAACTTCATAAATCCTTCCAATTGTTTGTCAGATTATGTTGCATCTAAGTTTCAAGAAATGATTGTCACGTCTGTATATTGTCAATCATTGATATCAAGCATGATTTGATGTCTAGAGATTATTTGTGAAACTTTTTAAAGTTGAGTAAATTAGTTTCCAAAAAACATATTAATAAATAAGGATAGTTGTTAAATGCCCTTGGATCATACAAGCCGGTCATTGGTTCAATGCCTTTTTGAGCTATATAACTGGGTTATTAAATTACGGGGATCAAGCATTGTATGGTGTTGTTTGAAATTTTCAGCGTCGTGAATGCAAATCATCTGCCGATCCAGAAAGCAAGTGGAAATACAGAATTTTACACGCACAAAAGTTACAAACTCATGTCCTATCAACCTGTCTTAGAATTATTCTACTCAACCCTGCTACTCCGATCTGTGGAAGTTTCTAATTCCATATGTATTAGTATGGACATGCGTGCTGAAATTTTGAAGCTCAACACTTCTGTGATTCGTGAATAGTCAGGATTGGAAATATTAGTCCATTTTTTTAATTTTAAAGCTCAACATTTTATATTCAGTTTATGCATGATATAGTGCGATCATCATAATTGCATTATTTTACAGTAGTGCGATCATCATAATTGTACTGTTTTACATTGGCTTAGGTTGATGATGTTCTTGAGACAAACTTGGAAGGGCAATTTCAACTCGTTGTGGATAAAGGCACTTTAGATGCAATTGGATTGCATCCAGATGGTCCCCTTAAAAGGTAACGATAAGCAAATATTTGGGCACGGCATATGCTCCATAATAATTAGATAATTGGTTGTTTTCAAGTTTCAGTTCGATGGATATTACTGCATAGAAGGTTGAAGTACGTGGACATTTGTTTTTTTTTTTTTTAATTATTTCCAGGATCATGTATTGGGAGTCAGTATCGAAACTGGTGGCTCCAGGTGGGCTGTTGGTAAGGCCTTTCTTTCCCCCTCCCACCGATCTGGCAGAAAAGGAAAGAATTATTAATAATAATATATACTTCATGCTAGCGACCATGAAGTATCCTAGTTTTCATATCATGGGACTAAGTGATAAAGTAAAAGTAATTTAGAGTTCAAAACCTATGGCCACCCATCTAAGATTTTTAAATTCTATGAGCCAACATCCAAATATTCATCTTTCAAAAGTGGCAATATTACCTTTCATTTCATCTCCCGTCATGTTTCTAGATTACCCTTACAGTAGAAGTCCATTAGAATGTTTGGACAAATAATTTAGACTTGGGAAGGTTGGAATGGTGTGAATGTGACTTGAAACAGAAATTGTGACCCAACACCACCACATTTGTTCTAAGTCTAAGCGTCCGTCTGAAGTCCTAATAGATATCTATTCCGGTAGTTTTGAAACATTTATTAAAAGTCATGTGTAATATTGCAACTCCTCTTATTATATATTTCATATATCGTGAGATAAAATCAATGCGTGTGAACTCTGATTTTCCTCATTGTACATTGTATCTCCTTTGGCAAATTTGATATTTCGTTCTCTTGGATCCTGTGCATAGACATGTAGCGTCCTTTGATGAAACTGCAATGTGAACG